TTAGTTCTATTTTTGGGGACCTAGTGAATATTGTCTTTAAAAGTTTGGCCATTTGCAGTCAAAAAAGTTGAGAACCTCTGATCTATAGAACAGAATAGAAACCATCCAGAAGACCCTAGGGTTGTGATGACAAGTTTTGCTTTCTGAATCATGTATTACACACCTCACCTTTCAGATGTTTTTGAGTATATTCAGACTCGGTGTTTGTGGTTTTGTAGCCAAGATTGTGCCAGAGGAGATCACCCCGCTGGTGCCTGCGGTTCCCGGAGAGAAGGTGGCAGAAGACCACACCTGCTCTGTCCTCCAGATTGTGCTCAAGGTCATGGTTCTCCAGGTGAGACAGAGCTGCTCATGTCTGTGTTTGGCTGATAATGCTTGTGGCCTGCTTTGTTTTTTTCTGAAGTCTGCATGTTGCTCATAACTGAATTGTTGTGATGTAATTTTTTTTACCACCACAGGCATCCAGCTTGGACTGGAAAAACAAAGAGAGCCAGGACATGGGCTTCAGATTTCTCTTTTCCCTGTTCAAGAAGTACTACATGCCTCACCTCTTTCCCTCTTTCACGAAACAAACCAACCTCTACAACCCACAGTTAGGTGAGTTTGAGACAAGAAATGTTTCTCTCTAAACCTTATTTTAGCAGCTCACATTTTGATTGGTTGTTTATAAAGAACCAGCCAAAAGACTAAATTATAATGAATAATGATTCAGTGTATATCACAGATAGCGTTCACATCCAATCTCTCTGATAACACTTAAATATAACTGAGTTGAGTCTGTTGCAGTTTAAAGAAATATTTCTTTAAAAACATATACCAGACTTTGGAAAGTAGGTTCTGGTCAAGCTTAACACAATGACAAGAACATGAACTGGAACTGGAACAGGATGCAAAAAAACTAGGGAAGAGGATGTGAGGGGTGTTTTATCAAACAGTTTGGGGACTGTTTCATCATTCCATCATGAAGTGAGGTATTTTACAGATACACCTGTAAATAGGCCATTTCTTCAGTAGCAGTTGTAGCCGGAAACATTTCTATTGTGTGATGCTGCATTCACACTGATGGCTGTCAAAATGAAGTCCAAGGCTGCTGTCATATTGACCAGCAAAACAAACAGTGCAATACATAAAAGCACTATTAGTGATGAATTATCCTGTGGTAGTGTTGGCTAGCAGGTGAGGAATTATGGTATTGTAAAAATAAAGCATAACTGCCACACAGTGTGTTTCAGAATGCATGTTAATCTCAGAGGACACTTAAATGTGTAGTTAACCGCATTCACAGCGAACCAAGCCCCTCTGAGATGATGAAAACAGCAGATCGTGAAGTGTTCACATGTAAATGAACACAGTGCTGCGCTTCACTCTAAAATACGCAGCTTGATAAACGCACTATGCCAATATCGCAGTTTTAATTTTATATCGATTGACAGATGCTGTGCCAAAGCAATGGCTCAAAACGTATAATGTAAAAATATTTTGGTTCATTATGAAACAGTCTAGGTAATCAATGGAAAACAACGTTGTTATTTTTTATTTGTATTTCCTTTCCTCTCTCTCTCAGATCTTCCCATTCACAGACCAAAGCCCCTCTACGTCCCTGTGACACGTAACAGTGAGAGCACATACTGCACTAGGGATCAGTATCTGGCTCCCCGCGTGGCCTTCATCACATGGCTCGTTAACTTCTTCCTGGAGAAGAAGTATGTGAACTCAGCCACGAGCAGCTCTAAGAACGGAGGAGAGGTCCTTCCTAAGATCATCCAGGTGGGAGGATCAGAGAACCACTGTCTCACTGTCAACTACAGTAGCTACATGGACACATATCTTCTGAGACAGCATACTCATTAACTGGAAATATAATTTTTCTTCATTGAAACTCGTTTGGCAAATTCATTATAGGAACAATAAAGACAAATTGAAATTTCTGTCATCATGTACTCACCCCAATGCTGTTTCAAAAACAAAAGCAGAATTTCCAAGCGCTACTTTTCCATGCCACTGGCTGTCAACCCCCTAACAATAATATTTAGTCATTTTGAGTAATTTCACATTTGTTGTGATAAAGTAACATCTAGGTTGCATATATCATTCATTCATTCATTTAGTTAGTTCATGCATAATTCATGCATTTTTTTGCCATACACTTACAGTATACAGTGTGCAGAAAACATTGTTTTTATAATACTGTACTGTACATCTAAGAAAGGCTTTTGGCTAATATAAGCACATATCATCCTCTATATATCTATATCTACTTTCTGCATCTCAAATGTGATGAGGTTTCTCTTCTCATGTATTAGATTATGTAACTTGTTGCATTACAACTATTGCCTCACAAACTCTGTGCAAAATTTTTTGTTTGTGCATGTATTTATTTATTTTTGTGTTTTCCCAAGGAGTGTAGACACTTTTCCACATAAGTTTATTTTATTTTGTTATTTTATTTAGGTGAAGTCTCAGTAATTCTTAGTAAATATCACTACTATAAACTGTAGGAATGTCGTTAATGTGAGAAAGCTCTTTCGTCTCCCTGTGTTTGTGTTCAGACTGTGACTGCGGGCGGGATCAGTCAGGAGAAGAGTGCAGACTCTGAGCCCAACGGTCCTGTGGAACAGGAGAAGAATCACTCAAACAGCAGCACGCTGTCAGATCGCCGGGGCAGTAACTCCAGTCTGTGTAGCATCGAGGAGGAGCATCGCACTGTCTACGACATGGTGCAGTCCATCCTGCTCTCCACACGAGACAACGTCAATTTCGTCAACGAGGTCTTCCATCAGGTCAGAGACCTCCAGTCTGTAGCTTACATCATGTCATCTTACGTTTGCATATTTTTAGACATGTTCTACTTGGTTAGAGATACAGTGAGTCTAATGAATATTTGTTTGCTGCCTCACAATGAAATGCGTATTATGCATACTGTATGTCATGATATGATATGCTATGCTATATCACAAATGTCTTAATTATCATTGTAAGAGGTCTTACGTTTGAGGATGGAAAAGCAGAAATCACAATACAGCCTAATGTTATTATTAAACTTCAAAGGGCTATGATTTAATCAAATAAATATGAGCGCTGCACGTTTAAAGTCAAAAGGCTCACGGTTTCAGAGCAGTTCACAATCAATAAACACCACGCATTTATGCCAATAGATTATTTATGATCAACTATTGTTGAACAATGTGTGTTTACTGTATGGTGTGTACAGTATATGTTGCAGACTGTGTTAAGAGTGCATTGTTTACCTCCCTCATCTGTTTGAATGAGCAGCTGGAAGAAGTGAACTGTAGACATTTTCAAAATAAGAGTCCTGGTGTATTTCAAGCTTGTGTAAAGTCCTGCATCATGCATATATACACCCCGACCCCCCCGTCCCCGAACGCACCCGACTTATTGGTATTTTGGTTAGTAAAACTGTATCTGGCCTTTAATTTTGTCTGGACTGCCCAGTCACAGGAAAGGAAAACGGAACATTATTTAACACCTACAGTATTTTTCAGTATGTAGATTTGACCAGTATTGACATCAGTATGTATACACACAAAGTCATGTCTTGGAGCCACCGTATGACACATACATCTAAATTAAGCAATTCATTAATTAATTGATTATTTGTATCAGAAAATGAAACTTTTGTTGAGATGCTCTGTCTTTTGCTGCCACCCTGTGACCAGAATCCAATCGTCATGTTAAACTACTTCAGAAGAATTATTTTGTCATTACAGTTTTCATGTGAATCAGAATAAAGAACACATATATTCACATGCAATCTAAACAGCATGTATTCTAGCATTTTATCCATAAAGCGGATAAATCTCACATATGTGTTACAGATTAGGGTTTTTCATACATTAAGCCAAATGAAAAATTCAGAGCACAAAGAACAAATATTTTTTTCTTTTTTGAAACAATATGTATAAATGTTGTTTTACATTTGTTATGAGAGGGTCCTTGATGTCAAACAGTTCAAAAGTACCCGTTATAGAAGAAGAAACTTGTCAAAATTGTGTGAGTGTGTATCATTTGTTCTGTATCATCACTTAGGCTTTCCTGCTGCCGGCCTGTGAAGCTTCAGCCACTTGCAAGGTGATCAAAGTCTACAGGAAGTGGTTTCTGCAGGAAATACCCAATTTCATGGCTGAGCCAGAGACGACAAGCCAGGAGGAAGATGGAGAGGAAGAGCACCTCGTATCTGAGACGGACAGTGCACACGTGCAGGTATGGTCATGCAAAAAAGGCTGCAACATTAAGTTATTCCCACTCACCTGTTCTGTGTCAACCCTTCAGGCCTTGGAGACTCATGGGCATAAACGCTCGTCCAGTTGGGGGCGCACTTACTCCTTCAGCAGTGCCATCAGCAGAGGCTGTCTGACTGAAAAACAGAACCAGGAAGTGAAAGCTGGCATCCAGCCCACCCTGCAGGTGCTCAAACACACGAGCCCTCTCATCTCATGCTTAACATTAAACAGAAATATTATTACAATTTGATGGAACTGTTTTCTATTTGAATATATTTTAAATCCTTCAGATCCTTCTGAAATCATTC